ATCGATCCCTGCTGCCGGAGCGTCGACTAATCTCCTGGCGGGGAGAGGGGAATCGATACGCAGGGATTCAATCACGCTTGAAAACAGAAAGGATAATTTATTGTAATCAAAGGGCTAAATGGAAAACGTGAGAACAACGCGCCCGTGAGGTCAGACACCGAAACTGCATCTAAGACCTACTGTAAAATGAGTGCTGTCCCATCCTGACTCAACTGTTCTATGTGAGAGAGACATAGTTAAAAGCTTTCTTCTGTCTGTTTTAAATTCATTAAAATAAAATAAAAATAACATTCTCATAAGAAGCATTTGCTTAATGGCACAGATATTTCTATATAATTAGGAATTAGAATACTAGATAGGACATGAAAGGTCTTCTGACACCATAAATGGTCAGCTATTTTGGTCAGGGAGTCGGTCAACCATGTCCAGCCAGTGTGATGTGAAGATATTGTGTAAAACAATGAATTTGAAGATTATCTGCACAGTATGTTTAGTAGCTAGCTAGCCAGCCATTTTAAGTGGAATTATTCAAATATTTGTTCTAATTAACTGCCAATAATATGCCAAAAAAGTTAAACTTTTCAGCAGCTGTGGCATCACCCAGGTGAGTGCTACATGTTTGGCAATGGAGGAGCAGTACCTACGGAGGAGTGGGTCCTATGGAGGAGTGGGTCCTACTAGGAGGAGCAGTACCTACGAGGAGTGGAGGAGCAGAGTACCTACGGAGGAAGGTGGGTCCTATGGAGGAGCAGTACCTACGGAGGAGTGGGTCCTATGGATGAGCAGTACCTACGGAGGAGTGGGTCCTATGGATGAGCAGTACCTACGGAGGAGTGGGTCTATGGAGGAGCAGGTACCTACGGAGGAGTGGGTCCTATGGATGAGCAGTACTACGGAGGAGTGGGTCCTATGGATGAGCAGTACCTACGGAGGAGTGGGTCCTATGGAGGAGTGGGTCCTATGGAGGAGCAGTACCTATGAGGAGTGGGTCCTATGGAGGAGTGGGTCCTATGGAGGGAGCAGTAACCTACGGAGGAGTGGGTCCTATGGAGGAGTGGGTCCATGGAGGAGCAGTACCTACGGAGGAGTGGGTCCTATGGATGAGCAGTACTTACGGAGGAGTGGGTCCTATGGAGAGCAGTACCTACGGAGGAGTGGGTCCTATGGAGGAGTGGGTCCTATGGAGGAGCAGTACCTACGGAGGAGTGGGTCCTTATGTGTGAGGTTTGGAGGAGTGGGTCCTATGAGGAGCAGGTACTACGGAGGAGTGGGTCCTATGGAGGAGTGGGTCCTATGGAGGAGCAGTATCTACGGAGGAGTGGGGTCCTATGGAGGAGCAGTTCCCTACTGGAGGAGTGGGTCCTACGGAGGAGTGGGTCCTATGGATGGAGCAGGTACCTTACGGAGGAGTGGGTCCTATGGAGGAGCATAAGTACCTACGGAGGAGTGGGTCATATGGAGGAAACTGACCGTCGGAAGAAGCAGATGTGGTGCACTGATGAAGCACTCCGGGTCTGTTTGTCAGACTGCCTTTGTTTCTCTCTGGCTCTACCATCGATGCCCCCTCCCCTGAAGCTACACTACCTTTCCAATCCAAACTGCCTCAACTCCCAGCCTTTCATCCGAAGCCAAAGAAACATTACATCTCCATCTCTACCAACTCAATTTAAATTTGTTGTTTGTTTATTTAGCTTTTTATGCACTTTGAGACTATTTTCTGTAATGAAAAGTGCTATAAATTATTATTATTATTAACATTCCATACAAACAATGCAGTCAATCCACGGGCAGACTGGCTGAAACCAGTTGATGCTAGGTTGTAAATGCAACAAGTAGTGATATTGAATCATATTATAACACACAGCTTTCCAAGAAAACAAACATTGAGACATTTAAAAACCTATATAAACTGTAGGCCTATTTATAATTATATGGCAATATTTTAGGTTAACAATAATTCTAACACAAATGTTGATATCACATGCCTTACTTTTAATTTTCTGCTTAAGTAAAAGCAGGAAATGCATCACCTATGCCACTACCATTCATTCCAATTAGACTGGTTTTGATTTCTCCCTGACCACAATGGCTGCCATTTTCATACCATTCTGGAACTTTTAGGGTTTATGACATAGCCCCTCTTGTAATTTAATAGGATCTCTATGGGTGTCTTTGTCGTGGTATCATAGATACATGCCTGTTTGATTTGAATGTGTAGTAGGCTACTTTGCAGTAGCTGTAGGCCTTTTTAATTCTATGCTGCTTTAGATTGTACCATACACTATATATTAAGGCCTATATGGATTAAATCAGCTCAAGCGATAGCAGACAGCCGCATAGCTGATGTTTTGGCGGTGTCTGAGGTGGAACTGGGTTGGAGCTGTTAAAACAGTGAACAGCTGCTCTTGCGATCATTGCCACGAAGCCACCACTCGCGTTAGAAGTTCAGAACGAGAAAGTGTAGGCTATATAGAAATAACAATGCTCAAATTAAAAAATAATTAAATGAAATAATGAGGATTTCTATCATCCTAATCAAGGTGTAGATTAGCCTACATCTCACCCTCCAGTGTTCAAACAAATCTGCATGGGATTTCTGTTAATGCGGCTCCGTGCAGCCAATGGCAATGTCCACTTTAGGTATAATGCCAGGAGCCGCTTGTGGATGTACATTTGAGTCATTTAGCAGATGCTCTTATCCAGAGCAACTTACAGGAGCAATTAAGGTTAAGCGCCTTACTCAAGGGCACATCGACAGATTTTTCTGTCGGCTCTGGAATTTAAACCAACGACATTTCAGTGACTGTTCCAATGCTTTAACTGCTAAGCTACCTGCCAGTAAAGCAGTTCCACCTCCGACACTGCCAAAACAAGCACTATGCAGATGTCGGCTAAAGCGGATCTGATAAAATAGAGCCCTATGTTTATTTTCTTTGTACTTTTACCCCTTTTTTGTGATATCCAATTGGTAATTACAGTCTTGTCCGATCGCTGCAACTCCCCTACGGACTCAGGAGAGGCGAAGGTCGAGACCCATGCGTCCTCTGAAACACAACCCTGCCAAGCTGCACTGCCTGCTTAACCCAGAAGACAGCCGCACCAATGTGTCGGAGGACTGGTGACCTAAGTCAGCTTGCAGGCGCTCAGCCCGCCACAAGGAGTTGCTAGAGCGCGATGGGACAAGGCAATCCCAGCCTGCCAAACCTTCCCAAACCCGGACGACTCTGGGCCAATTGTGCACCACATCATACATCTCCCAGCCACAGCCGGCTGTGACACAGCCTTGGATCGAACCTGGGGCTGTAGTGACACCTCAAGCACTGTGATGCAGTGCCTTAGACCGCTGTGCCACTCGGGAGGCCGCCCTATGTGGTTTTTATTGGTATACCAAATCATATGGGGCAGTACCATAATAAATACATGTGTAAATGTTGACAACAAAAAGTGTATCTCTGTTGTAATGACCTGTATTACTGTAATGACCTGTATTACTCTGTAGATAAAGTATCTCTAGATCAGCACACACTGCAGACACGCATATAGGACACGTTATCTGTCTAAAGTCTGTAGTCTCATTAAGTATGTGTGTGTGTACACTTCAGAGAGAGAGTGTGTGTGTGTGTATGTACACCAGAGAGAGAGCGTGTGTGTGTGTGTGTGTGTGTGTGTGTACACATCAGAGAGAGAGAGAGAGTGTGTGTGTGTGTGTGTGTGTGTACACATCAGAGAGAGAGAGTGAGTGTGTGAGTCATTAGACTTGGTTCTAGGCCCTCTCCTCTTTTCCCTTTACACCAAGTCACTCGGCTCCATCATATCCTCACATGGGCTCTCCTTTCGACTACTCTTCTCCTTTCTCCCAGGTGGCGACACGCATCTCTGTGTGCCTGACAGACATCTCAGCTTGGATGTCGGCCCACAACCTCAACGAAACGGAGCTGCTACTCCTCCCGGGTAAGGCCTGCCCGCTCCAAGACCTCTCCGTCACAGTTGACAACTCCACGGTGTCCCCCTCCCAGGGTGCAAAGAACCTTGGCTTGACCCTGGACAACACCCTGTTGTTCTCTGCAAACATCAAAGCAGTGACTCGCTCCTGCAGGTTCATGCTCTACAACATCCGTAGAGTAAACCTTTCCTCACACAGGAAGCGGCACAGGTCCTTATCCAGGCACTTGTCATCTCCCGTCTGGACGACGGCAACTCTCTGTTGGCTGAGCTCCCCGCTTGTGTCATCAAACCCATGCAACTTATCCAGAATGCTGCAGCCCGCCTGGTGTTCAACCTTTCTAAGTTTTCCCATGTCATCCCACTCCCCTGCACACTCCACTGGCTTCCAGTCGAAGCTTGCATCATCTTCAAGACCCTAGTGCTTGCCTACAGAGCAGCAAGGGGAACTGCCCCTCCTTACCTTTAGGCTATGCTCAAACCCTACACCCAAACCCGAGCACTCTGTTCTGCCACCTCTGGTCTCTTGGCCCTCCCAGCCCTACAGGAGGGCAGCTCCCACTCAGCCCAGTCAAAGCTCTTCTCTGTCCTGGCACCCCAATGGTGGAACAAGCTTTCCCCTAGTCAGGACAGTGGAGTGAGTCCCTGCCCATCTTCCGAAAACATCTGAAACCCTACCTCTTTGAAGAGTATCTTAAATAACGCTCACACCGCCCCAAAAAAGGCACTCCTACCTGCACTGACTTTGCTGATACTTTGAGGGAAAATGTACTTGATACGATTGTGATGTGTTGTCTCACCTAGCTATCTTAAGATGAATGCACTAATTGTAAGTCGCTCTGGATTAGAGCATCTGCTAAATAACTAAACTGTAACAATGTGTTCTCAGAGGGGGAGCCAGACCTGCTGGTGAGCCTCCAACACATTCAAAACAACTTCTTTTCTCAGCACCTTCACAATCTCTTGCCAATAATTACTCAACAAGTAAATGTGTGACAGATTTATATTTTATTGCAAACCATGTAAATCCATATCATTAGATTCTAAGCCACTCATAGACATACACACACACATTCAGACACACACATACACACTTTCCACTCAAACAGGCACACTTTTCCTTCACAATGCACTCATTCTGCGATCAGTCTCTGGTTCTTTGTCTGTTCCCTCTTTCGTTTCTCTCTCCACTTCCCTCATCCTCCTTCATCCCTTCCTCTCTTCAGAAGAAGTTGCATGTATGTTCAGTTTTGTCTAATGGTTAAGGTTGGGATTTGAGGAGGGTATGCTGATCCTAGATCTGTCCCTATAAGCATCTCTTACCCGGAGCCCCAATCAGGAGGGGCAGGTAAACGGTCAGGACATAATGATACAAACAAGGAAGTGACATCATTCACGCGAGTCGCGCTCCATTTCCTCATTCTCCAAGTGGTGGGCAGGTCTATAGCGGCTCACGCCCCTCACATCCACCACTTGGAGTGCGGGGTTTCGGCAGGTGTTGTCCATGCTGCCCAATGAGGTGTACCTGTCAGGAGACGGACAGAGGACTCAGTCAATCAGAGACCAGGATGGGGAAATAGACAGTGACAGAGGAAACAGAGGACATGCTTGATTAAGGTGTGTATGTCTTCTTACCCTTTATCATAGAGAATACAGTAGGGCACATAGAGAGTCCTCAGGAATGACCAGATATCATGATATGTCCAGTCCTGATGGAGACAGAGAGAGAGGGGGGAGGGAGAGACACACAGAGCGAGACACAGAGAGAGAGAGAGAGGGAGGGAGAGACCCAGAGAGAGGAGGGAGAGAGACAGAGAGAGAGGGAGGGAAGGAGCAAGAAAGACAGAGAGGGAGGGAGGAAGAGAGAGAGCATTAGAAGTTTATCACACACACCCTCAGAAAGGGAACACTGCAAGCATCATGTCTCACCAGCAGGGGGTTGACCCTCATGTAGTCCGGCCATCCAGGGTCAGTGAGACACATGGGGGTGAGCGTGTGTGAGTAGGGGTCACTCCTCCTGGTGCCCATACACACAGCTCTGAGCTCCGGCCTCCTCTCCTGTACCTCACTTAACGCCTGCCGAATACTGCCCTCCACTGAGAAAATCTCCAGGTCATACCTATGGGAGACAGGATGGAGCTCTGCTAAATAGTGAGCCAAAGTCTCTGTATAATAATACAGTAAAACATTTTATTATCAGAGTTTTGCTCAAACTCAAAGATGCAATGCAGATCAAGCAAACGAAAGCTACAACCATACACAGACTTGTTAGGGACAGAAAAAGTACATAGCTAACACAGAGGTACAGTATGTGGTCCTCTGTAGCTCAGCTGGTAGAGCACGGCGCTTGTAACGCCAGGGTAGTGGGTTCCATCCCCGGGACCACCCATACACAAAAATATATGCACGCATGACTGTAAGTCGCTTTGGATAAAAGCGTCTGCTAAATGGCATATTATATTATTATCTGAGGATTGGGGAAGTGACCTAGCGATGCTAACGCTAACTACAGAGACCGATAGCTTACCTCTTTATTGTGTCCTGGAGAAATCTCTCCATCTCTGGGAAGGGAGAGACGATGCGAATGTACAGAGCCTTTACCTTGTCCTTACCCTCCGGATACCGCCTGTGAGGGAGGGGAAGAGAGGAGAGAGAAAAGAGAGGAGAGAGAGAGAGAATAACTACATGAGGTAGATCTTCCAAGTAAACAATTAATTCAGACAGGATAACACAAAATATGGGTTAAAAGTCACATATGGTCTCCTTCCTTCCCTCTTTGTAGACAGAAAACTGTCTTTCTCCCCCTCTCTCTCACCGTTTCAGTGCAGCGTAATATAGATGTAGTAGAGCAGTGCAGTCTTTGCCTCCATTGAAGCCCACACAGATCTCCCCTGACGAATACTGATCCAGAGCAGTCTCTATGGTCTTCAGAGCGTTTGCCACTTTATCACCCAGCGGAGTGCCTATGGGAGATGGAGTTCATACAGACAGTTGGGGTCATGGGAAATGTAGTCACAGTAATTTTTTTATGGGTGCTCTCCATCTACCTGTCCCTCCCTCCCTCCCTCTCTCACCACTGTTGGCCAGTGTGTAGACCTCCTCAGTAGCGATGGACACAGGGTCCGTGACCAGGGGAACCACGCTGCCTTTGGGCAGCTCCTCCAGCAGCTGAGTCCGGGCCTTCTCCACCTCCTCAGAGCTGTCGGAATCCAGCACCAGCCTGACCCGGTGGTAGTTACTGAGCCAGTCAGGGTAGGAGCCCAGAGCCACCCTCTTCCCCCAGCCTGCCTGCAGACGGGTCAGCACCGGGGCGATCAACGCCTCGTCTGCATCCACAAACACCTACAACATAGCATGAGGAATACATCACATAACAGGCATACATTGCAGCAGAGGTCCTGTACAGGCTTTTGTTCCAGCCCAGCACAAACACACCTGATTCAGCTCATCAAGGTCTTGATGATTAGTCGATAAATTGAGTCATATGTGTTAAAGCTGGGCTGGAACACAAGCCTGCACACCCTGTGGGTCCCCAGGACAAGGAGTGAAACGATGTTGGTCTATATGTTGAAAACGTCCTGTCGACTGTATTGTAGTGGAGTCAGATGGTTGGTCACCTCACCTCTCGTGTGTGGAAGGTGGTCCCTGAGCCAGCGAACAGGTGCTCCAGACCGTTGAAGGCTCTCTCCAACAGAGACGGGATCCCAGGGAAGATGTAGACGTTACGCACACTCACCTGGGAATGACACAGAGACAGAACCAGGATGACATCAAGATTCTCCAAATTCTTAAGGAAGCAGTTGGCTCCAACGCACTGATATCTCCTATCATTAATGTTTTCTACATTATATCATGTTATACCACAGCACTGTTGAATACTCCTTTCTGATAGGCTAGAAGGGCCTTCTAGAATGGACATTAAAACCAGATAACTGGACAGTTGGAAAAGATATCGGGACACCTTGCAATCATGACGCAATATGCGCCTACACATGCAGGCCGTACTTGTTACAAAGTTACAGAAAGCTAAACCAACAACTACACAAACTGAAAATGGATAAATTGTAAACACAGGTCCAACGAGGAAAAAAACGTAGCTAGCTAGCAGGCATTGATTTGTTTTTGCATTGATTTGTTTTTGCAGAGATATTTTTTTGGAGCATCTGATGACCTAACGTGGTGAGTAATGAACATGAATTTCTCTGGTCCCTACCGATGTTCCCTCTAAACTGTGCGTGTACACAGGCACGCCGCAGTAGAAATATCAGCATGTGCAGTGAAGCACGAGATTGAACTTCGCTTAACTTTCTACAGTTTTCCCCCTTAGTTAACACTATCAACGTTTCCCTTTACTGTGGGAATTGTGATCGAATCAACTCAATATTAGCCACTTTCAATGCAACATACTTAATATCCAAAACAAACTATGCAAGAGATTTTTTTTGTAGGCAAAATGCATCGGAGTAGGATTCTGTTGCATTGACACGCACTACTCAGCCCTCAGTCTACACAGACCGGTGCGGCATAACCAATCAGAGCTGCAGTAGCCTATATGCAAATAGACCATTGCCATATATGGATCTGTACAAAATCTGAAGAACATATCCAGGTACTTTTTGCAGGTGCTGGAGTGAATTCACGGAAAACGCTGCACACCGCTGCTAATGCTCCCAAACTGTTTCAGGAAGAGTACTGAGTACTGCCCCTATATATAGGACCTTCCACCCCCACCTGGGATATGGATGCCTGATGAAGACCTACGGGTTTGAAACGTTGTTATAAATAAAATCAACTGGGAGCATGAGCAGCATTGTGCAGCGTTTTCCTTTTTGTTTTCCATATATGGATCTGTGCCATTCTCTTTGAACTGGACTGTGTTTACAACATGAGCGGTCGTGCGTAGATGCACTTGTTTTGAGATCAAAGCGAGAGCTCCATGTAGCCACTTGTGCACATTTGTTCATATCCTCTGCTAGTTAGTGAGTTATTAGCCCAGATATATAGATAATTTGTAGTCAGCAATGGAGGAGTGATTGCTTCCTACAAGAGCACAAAACATGTACATTTCTAGCCATCTTTGAGATGCAAGTCAGGTAAACTGCTTTTTGTTTTCTCTTAAAGGGGCAGTGTTGTATTTTGAGACAGACTTGAATAAGTTAAGTAGCCAATAGGCAGAGGGTAGCATAATTTGTCTAATTCTCTGCAATAATGGTATGGGAATAATAATACTTTTTACTTTGTAAAGTGGTGCATCAAACAACACAACATGTTCAGTCACCTTGTCTGAAGGACAAATGGATGAACAGGTTAATGTCAAGCCCTGCATGTTTTTTTCAAAAGTCTCATGGAATGTAGGTCTATACTGAACACCACACATTGGCTGCTACTGTAGGCTGAATGATAGAACAGGTATTTCCATGTAAAAATGTTATGGGATGCATTTTCTCCATTGTTTTTGATGGTAGGCCACTCTGGTAGCCCTACATTATGATCAAATAGCCACAGTAGCCTATTTGACCACTGTCTAAAACTGTAACTTAAAGCGTGTACAGCCTCAGTGTTCACAGTAAACGCGTGCTGGAAGTTGCACAGACTTTTCACAACTTTCAAGTTTGCGCTCAGCAGACCTGATATTTGCTCAGTGCCCAATAATGTTTGAGGGAACATTGGTCCCTACTGTTGCAGTCATGACGCAAGTGGCGCAATGCTTTCAAATCCTCCCACCAGTTTCTAGTTTGACCAGCTGTTTTCAGCAACTGGTATTTTTTTTATTTGGTTATCATATTGTCCGGTTTCCTAGCAACAAACTATTTAGCTAGCTTCTATCCTAGTGTTTGACATGCAATGTGATCTCCTCGTAATGAACAGTGTCGAGTGTCCTGATGAGAAGGAAAACTTTTCTAGCTATGTCAGGCAAAATCTGGCATTATCAGCTCATTGTTATGGATTTATTCAAATGAAAGTCAATAGAAAACAGCTACTTTGCTGTTATTCTGGCTGAAGAGTTCGTGACTGTGTTAGCCGTAGCTAGCTAGCAAGCAAGGAATAAGAATGTTGGCAGCGAGCATGGCAATGGAACAAAGAACAAATGACTGGGTTGCGTCCATAAATATCGAACTAATCTAACGAACGACTGGGTCGTGTCTCTAGCAACCAAAATATGAGAAAGTAAGAATTTGCTCATATAAATGAAAATATCAACAAAAACATTTTATTTCTACCGGTAAATGTGTGCTTAGTATTGTTTTCTGTGGTATAAGCGGGATAAACAGCTTAAACAAATGCAACAAAATAAACTTTGCTGTTATTCTGGCTGCAGAGGTCGGGACTGTGTTGCCATAGCTAGTTGGCTCTGCCTCATCCCGCTGCACCATCCATTGTTTCCAAGGTAATGTACAGAACGTGGGCGTTTATCCCTTACATGTTAAAGGAATCAGATGATGCATTTTGCATCATAATAATGATGTGGCAAGTGACACTTTGCTTCTTGAAAGTCCAATATCTTAACTTGACTGCTGACTTTCAAAACATTTTGGGACTGTATCAACAGTGGACTAATGAGAAAAAAATACCAAAATATATATTTTTTGTGGATTTTTCGTTTAACAGTAGTCAGCCACTGACCAGTGGGTAGCGTAGTGGCTGTCCAGTCTGAGGGTCAGTGCCGTAGTTGAGCTTGGCCGAGCGGGGGACCATGGCTAGCTTCATGGCTGCACTCTCCCTATCCACCACCCCAAAGAACTCCTCCACCAAACGGGTCAGCTCCGGGTGGGCATGCAGTTCCTCCTCGAACGCCATGGCAACGCTCTCGAAGGTGACGTCGTCGTGGGTGGGGCCTATTCCCCCAGAGGTGAGCAGGTGTGTGTACTGTGGGGCCAGGAGGGCCACCTCCTTAGAGATTACCTCCTGCTGGTCAGGGATGACTGTAACACGCTGGACACACACTCCCAGCTTCCTAAGCGCTCGCAACAGGAAGGCACTGTTAGTGTCCACTGTGTGACCCTGAGAGAGAGAGTGGGGGGGGGGGGGGGGGGGGTAGAGGGAGGGAGAGAGACCCTTTAGATTAGCTAACTCCTAAGAGATAGGGACTAGGGGAGGAGGTTGTTTTCAGAGACCAGGCATATTCCACTCAGTACCAAGCCCCCCACCACCATCTCCAGTCTCACCTTGAGTATCTCGTCTCCGATGATGAGGATGGCTGCTGTGACAGCACCCCCCTTCTGTTGACAGGAGTTACCGCAGCTCTGGTGGTTCTGGGCCATGGTTGCCGTGGTGACCTGGACCTGGGCAGCCACTCTCCTCACACGCACCGCTGCTCTACTCAGCCTGGACACAGCCTGCAGCATCCAGACCTGAGACAGAAAGAGTGGGGGAAGAGAAACAACTAGAGAGAGGGAGGCAGGGAAGGAGAGAGGGAGGGAGGAAGAGGGCGAGAGACATGGAGGGTGAGTGATGGAGTAGAGGAGAGGGAGGGAGAAAGAAAGAAAGGGGAGAGAGGAGAATGGGTACTGAGCAGTACATACTAGTTCCAACAAGATCAAAATGTAGTCATTGGACACCAATAAGGAGAACAGCTGTTTTACATAAGGCCGGGAGGGTAGACCAGGGGAGGATTGTTACATACACAGGATTTCACCATAAATGCTTGTCCAGCTAGCTACCTATTCTATTTAAAAACCAAGCAGGAAACTTATGAAGTTATGATGGCTCAAATGTGTGTTGCTGTCAAAGTTCAAGCTACATGTCTGCTGTAGTTATGAGCTACCTGCCTATCTAGAGTAAAGGGTGATTTCGCCACGGTCATTCGGCGAGGAACAAGCTAGCCCCAGCCACAACCATTTTTTTCTGGTTCTTATAAGGTCAATTAACTAAGCAGACCAGATCCAGCTGCTATCCCTTAAGCAGACCGGAACTGTGACAACTGTTTTCAAAGGTAAACGGCCTGAGGATCTTCATTTATCCACCATCTTTCATTGGACATCCTAGGCTAACAGTTAGCTAGTTACCCACTGCGCAACGCGCACATGAGTTTGTCTGTATGTAAATATGATCATTAGTTTAATGACAACATGATACCCTTTCTATAGATTATAATTGATTTCTGCTGTGACAAATGATAGCAACAATCATGTATTTGATAACCCGTGTAATCATCAGACAAGCGCTTACCCTAAAGTAGCATACGTCCTCGTTATGTATCAGTCGACCAATTCCATGTCCTTCAAACACTGGGCGTCTCTGGCGAGCCAATCAGGAGCAATAAAGTGCTTTCTCTGAATCCAGAAAGCCAATGAGTGTGAGAAGGCTGGTCGGAAATTGACCAAGGTGTTTGTGTGGCGGAAGTACATGGTGTGCAGTGTTGCACTGATAACGTGGTTTTGCCTACAAGCGATACAGCTTTTTTTCATAGTAGGTTTAGCAGCAGGTTATGAGAATTAGGTTAAGTTTAGGAAAGGGTTAGGATAGATAAAATACAACAACAACAACTTTTGACGTCAAATTTGACATTCTGTATCCATTCTAGACAAGACCCTGATAACATACACCCAGAGTATGCCTACAAGATGATTTTATGATTATAACATTATTATTATATTAGGCTCAACCAAGCAAAAACAAATTTTTTAAAGCCTATCTGCAACAGAGTTTACAATTATTACAATGATTTGTGATAAACCGTAAGAAAAACATTAAATAGGCTTTACAATTTACTCTATGCAGACATGTAGACAGTCCTTTGTGGCTAAATTGGTAGAGCATGGCGCTTGCAACGCCAGGGTTGAGGGTTCGATTCCAACGGTGGACCAGTACAAAATAATTAATGTGAATATGCACTCACTACTGTGGGTCGTCTGCTAAATGTCGATGTTTAGATTTTTATTTTCTAATACTGTCAAGTATAAATATTAATCTGTGTGTGTGTGCGTGTGCGTGTGCGTGTGCGAATATGGTATCTACCAGCAGAGGACTCCAGTGAACAGTATTCACTATGCATGAATGGCTGGGCTACATGGAATTATCTAGACTCAAGTGTAGCCTAGGCTATTTATCATATTTTACCTATTCTATATGGGCCTATTATATTATTGAACAGACAAAACAATAGAACAGAGTTGAGTTGTTGAGTTGTGTTGTGTTGAGTTTAATTGAAAAATAGAATAGAATAACATTACATAATTTAGCAGACACTCTTATCCAGAGCGACTTACAGTTAGTGAATACATCTTTTTTTTATACTGGCCCCCCGTGGGAATCGAACCCACAACCCTGGCGTTGCAAACGCCATGCTCTATCAACTGAGCTACATCCCTGCCGGCCCCTACCCTGGACGACGCTGGGCCAATTGTGCGCCGCCCATGAGTCTCCCAATCGCGGCCGGCTGCGACAGAGCCTGGATTCGAACCAGGATCTCTAGTGGCACAGTTAGCACTGCGATGCAGTGCCTTAGACCACTGCGCCACTCAGGAGTGAAGATCTATGACTGTGGAATATAATATAATTGAATGTAATAAAATAGAAAATAATGGACTAAAATAAAATACTATATAATATAATAAAATAGAATATTCTTTGGCCTCTCAGTGATACATTATGAACTGCAATTCAAGTTTGTTCTCGTGCTTCTCGTTCAAGAAAGGTTGTAGCCTATAACATAGACATTACAGTTGCACTATGCAAATAATAATGTATGATTCAACAAAGACTGTGTGTATGTGGTTTAATGTCAGTTTACTCGGTTATACTGTAGGCTGGTTTGTTATTGTGGGAAGTTCTCTTTTTGCGCAATCCCTTTCTGTCAAGGCCGCGCAACCACCGGCCAGGTGCAGAGAACCACACAAACCGAGTGGCACTAGCAGCCAGGGCAAATGACGTTGCCATTTGTTCGCGGAAGTGGCTTTTTTTGTGTTGGTAGAAAGAGGGGCGGCGGGGGGAGGAAAGGAAGAGAAACTAAAGAAGGAAAGTTTCAGCCCTCTTTCTAAAGAAATTCAAATGCACACTGTACGACAGCTGGCGGTTTAAACCTTCGCATTCAGCCACTTATGTAATTTAGTTAGAGGTAGGCCTACGGGACAACAACAGCTGGGAGAAAAGAAGAGGCACAAAAGGGACAAGGAGGAAGATAGCTGGTAAGTTCTTCTGACAAAAGTTGACCACACTTCTCTGGGCATGGTTTGGGCTGGAATTTTAAGGGCTGCGTGTTGGAACGTGGTAGAGAGACGTTTTAGGACATTCGAATACTAAAACAATAACATTCTGCCTGACAGATGAATATTATTTGCTATAGGCCGATTGTAGACTACCTAGGCTATTACTTTTTGTTGTGCCATAAATTCAATGGTGGCGAAACAATCTTTTGCTGAAAAAAAATATCTAGTCTAGCAAGACTGCTGAGTTCAGTGTGTACGAAAACATTTATCGAGTTATTGTAACATTGTGAAATATAGCCTAGTGATACAAAGTAACTAGACTAGGCCGCACATGAAACATTGTATCCATTCAGCAGAAGTCGCAAACAACCGTGTTGTCACTTTTGAGTGTTTTCAAAATCAAAGTGGTTTGCTGCAGAGGCTACTAGAAATAGTCAGTTCTGTAGGCCTGGGTCCCTGGGATATCATTCCTTACCCCACACCAAGTTGTGGTCCTCTGTAGCTCAGCTGGTAGAGCACGGCGCTTGTAACGCCAAGGTAGTGGGTTCGATCCCCGGGACCACCCATACACAAAAATGTATGCACGCATGACTGTAAGTCGCTTTGGATAAAAGCGTCTGCTAAATGGCATATTATTTTATATTATTTTAAGTTGTCCAACTCTATCATTTAAACTGTTCTCGTAACACTTTATAGGCCTACATGAGTACTAACACTGTAATAAAAAAAAGTATCAACATTGTTTGTATTGACATGTTGTTAGCATACTACTATAGCAATATGGAGTTTTTGTTTGTTTGTTATTCTACACGTGGAACTGACTGCGGTTCCACTTATGTAAACTCCCCAAGGCCTACTATGCAATGGAAACTATGCGACCATTCTTACCATGTCAAAACATGTTAATGCAAGAATATTACTAAATTAATCCCAGTGTTACCACACAGGTTTAGAGAAACTAAATCTAGACTAAACAGGCTGGTCTTGTCTTTCTGTAAATGCTCTAGTTCTTTTTCAGCGACCTAATCAGAAGTTAGGATTACATTACATTTCTGTAATGTGCAATATAGATCTGTAGCCTATTGTCAAGATGGCATTCTCATGGAGATTATTTAATGTTTCAATAGGTCTAGGTTATATATTGTTATGGATGTGTAACTATTTGTTTCAGACAATAATGATAATCTAAATAATCTGTAACAAGCCCTGACTAAAACAGTACTCTGTAGTTGGCTACGTGCCATACAGAACATTCAACGACAAGCTGTGATGCTGGGCCCTTCATTATCCTATGATACGGGCTGTATTAGTGTGGCCATATATGTGGCAAGATGCGTAAATACACACAGTTGTTATGGTTACCTGCACCTCAGTCTGTGATGGGACTACTGTTGTGAGGCAGCTGGCCTGGTCCTGAGCCCTATACTATGTACATGGTTTGAGGAGTTAGCGAGGTAACTTTGGTCAACTCTGAGTTCAACTCGGGATAACCGGTACCACAAAAGTGGCTCACCTTTTAGCCAGGTACATTTCTATGGCAACAAATCCAGAACTAAACTGCTCCTGGGCAGGCTTACTCAGGGCTAACTCCATTTATCCTGAATCAAGTGTCTGAGCCACGAGTTAAAGACCAATGAAATGAAGTAAAACGTGTGTATGACTTAATACAATTATTATATGGATAGGAGTGGAGGGGGAAAGGTGCTTGTGCATTGATAAGCACACCAAAGACGGTGTTAGCGATAAGTAATAAAATAAAGGCGGCACTTCAACAAGCCTATTTCACACCACAGCCGGATGAATTTGCAGCACAGGAGGTTGGTGGCACCTTAATTGGGGAGAACGGGCTTGTGGTAATGGCTGGAGCGGAATAGGTGGAATGGTATCAAATACGTGGTATCCATGTGTTTGATGCCATTCCATTCGCTCTGTTCCAGCCTTATTATGAGCCGTCCTCCCCTCAGCAGCCTCCACTGATTTGCAAGATAACTCTTCTTTCATTTTGCACAAATTAAAATGTGGCACTGAGTCGCCCATGGATGGATGTTTCAGCAATGTCTCAATGAAAAGTTTGGCGTTCGACCAGACACGTGTGACATGCACCCGTAGTTACAAGCCTGCTAGAGTTAGCGGCAGGCGGATGAGCAATATCCACCGTCGTAGTACGGATGAAGCCTGAGATGGAATGTAAAGCTAACTGAAGCTGGATAGCTTTAGAAAAACCCTGAGTAGATCTAGGTTCAATCATAGTATACCACTCTGATGGTTTGGAGACACCGCAGACAGGGGTTAGGGGTCAGGGATGGAGTGAATACAGGTAGGCCTATGTGTCTGAACAGACTGCTTCATAATATGCCCAGCTCCCTCCTTAAACTCACTGTCAGTGGGATATCGCTCTGATGGTGAGGATGATGAGGAGGAGGACTGCTGCATGGCTGGGCCTGGGGATAATACACTCTCTGAGAGACAAATGTCAGTGACAGAAATGTACACACACACACAACCAACTAATCTATTCATCTATCTGTCAGTCAAAGACATCCTGTTTGACACAGAGCTTCACAATCCACCTCAGACCCTCTCAATCAAACCGGGTCTGCCCAATCTAATACAGACCCTATCAATCAAAAGCAGAACCAATCAGTCCTGTCTGTGTGATAAGCTTGGCTGGGTGACACCTTTCGTTAACTCCCTTTTGATTTGTCAGACAGGTGAGTGTATCTCAGCACATAAATAAGTGTGTGCGAGCACGTGCATGTGTGCTCACGTGTGCCAGCCCATAGTTGCAATTGGCAACAGTCTTAGATTTCACTCAGCGTCAGTTTGTGTATCAATATGAGGCCGTATCTGACATGTAGCTGACTGCCAGAGAAAAAAGACAAGCAGCTGGCTAGATACTGCTCTGTGTTAGCTGGCAAGATCCTGTTTCAGCTGTTGTCAGCAGCAGCTTATCTGTATGGAGAAGAGAGGTTTTGTTTTCATGGTTTTAAGAACATTATGTATGACCTTTGACTTATTTGGCTCCTTCACTGTAACACTTAATTGTGGACCCAAATAGTTTTCAGCGTGTGTGTGTGTGGAAACACTGCAGGAGCAGTTATCTGGGTCTCAGTGTGTGGTTGTCCGTCTCTTACAACGTAGCGGAAGAGAAGGTGAGGCCAGCTCCACTTCCTGCCCTGCAGCCCTGGTCTGCCTCCTACTCACTTCACATAGAAAGACACTTAGACTACATGCTAATCTGCTACGAGTTGCAGAGAGATTCAGTCCCACATAGATAAGCTTAAACTAAAGGCCTACTAGTATTTACTTGATGCACGTATGACTGTGAGTCGCTTTCCATAAAAGCGTCTTCTAAGTGGCATATATACAGTGAGGGGAAAAAAGTATTTGATCCCCTGCTTATTTTGTACGTTTGCCCACTGACAAAGAAATGATCAGTCTATCATTTTAATGGTAGGTTTATTTGAAAAAATCCAGACAAACGCATGTCAAAAATGTTATAAATTGATTTGCATTTTAATGAGGGAAATAAGTATTTGACCCCCTCTCAATCAGAAAGATTTCTGGCTCCCAGGTGTCTTTTATACAGGTAACGAGCTGAGATTAGGAGCACACTCTTAAAGGGAGTGCTCCTAATCTCAGTTTGTTACCTGTATAAAAGACACCTGTCCACAGAAGCAATCAATCAAATCAGATTCCAAACTCTCCACCATGGCCAAGACCAAAGAGCTCTCCAAGGATGTCAGGGACAAGATTGTAGACCTACACAAAACAGGAATGGGGTACAAGACCATCACCAAGCAGCTTGGTGAGAAGGTGACAACAGTTGGTGCGATTATTCGCAAATGGAAGAAACACAAAAGAACTGTCAATCTCCCTCTGCCTGGGGCTCCATGCAAGATCTCACCTCGTGGAGTTGCAATGATCATGAGAACGGTGAGGAATCAGCCCAGAACTACACGGGAGGATCTTGTCAATGATCTCAAGGCAGCTGGGACCATAGTCACCAAGAAAACAATTGGTAACACACTACGCCGTGAAGGACTGAAATCCTGCAGCGCCCGCAAGATCCCCCTGCTCAAGAAAGCACATATACAGGGCCGTCTGAAGTTTGCCAATGAACATCTGAATGATTCAGATGAGAACTGGGTGAAAGTGTTGTGGTCAGATGAGACCAAAATCGAGCTCTTTGGCATCAACTCAACTCGCCGTGTTTGGAGGAGGAGGAATGCTGCCTATGACCCCAAGAACACCATCCCCACCGTCAAACATGGAGGTGGAAACATTATGCTTTGGGGGTGTTTTTCTGCTAAGGGGACAGGACAACTTCACTGCATTAAAGTGCCATGGACGGGGCCATATACCGTCAAATCTTGGGTGAGAACCTCCTTCCCTCAGCCAGGGCATTGAAAATGGGTTGTGGATGGGTATTCCAGCATGACAATGACCCAAAACACACGGCCAAGGCAACAAAGGAGTGGCTCAAGAAGAAGCACATTAAGGTCCTGGCGTGGCCTAGCCAGTCTCCAGACCTTAATCCCATAGAAAATCTGTGGAGGGAGCTGAAGGTTCGAGCTGCCAAACGTCAGCCTCGAAACCTTAATGACTTGGAGAAGATCTGCAAAGAGGAGTGGAACAAAATCCCTCCTGAGATGTGTGCAAACCTGGTGGCCAACTACAACAAACATCTGACCTCTGATTCCCAACAAGGGTTTTGCCACCAAGTACTAAGTCATGTTTTGCAGAGGGGTCAAATACTTATTTCCCTCATTAAAATGCAAATCAATTTATAACATTTATGATGTGTTTTTCTGGATTTTTTTGTTGTTATTCTGTCTCTCACTGTTCAAATAAACCTACCATTACAATTATGGACTGATCATGTCTTTGTCAGTGGGCAAACGTACAAAATCAGCAGGGGATCAAATACTTTTTTCCCTCACTGTAATAATCAAGTCCCAAAGTAATTATTATGATGCCGGTATTCATAGATTATTCGATTTTGGGTGATACAAAATGGGGATCTTTATCAGGGTTGCACATGCTTCATACTCAGGGCAGTAATATGCTGGTGCTTCCTGTCGGTCTATGGGGGAGTTATTTCACATTTGGTCAGCACAATTAGACCGGGACATTCCTAATGTCAAATGTTATTAACTAGAGTACATATGAACAGGGAGCCAATGGAACTCCTGTCCACTGAATGGAACCGAATGAAATTAATAGAACGGTCAGCTCCCTTACTTCCTGGTCTCCTTCATGACATCATCTCTGTGTCTAATCCTGTTTTCTGCTATCTTAGGTTCAGGGCATTGGGTCTGTGTGGTGTGACCTCTGTGTGGGAGGTTTGTGACCTCTGGCTGGTGAGGTCAGGTTAAAAGGGGACTGTTTCAGGCTCACATCCTGTTCTGGCCCAGAGGCCACAGTTTCCTGGGTTTTTTTATTGTTTCCCTATAAAGTGTTACACTCTAAGAGTTCCCCATGGTGTGCAGTCTGTGTAGAATTACACACTAATAGTTCCCCTGGCTGGCTGAGCCTGCAGTCAGAGCAGTGGTGAAGGAGTTCTCTGTCTACCATAACAGCATGTGTGTGAATAAAGTGAGTTTCTTCAGTCTTTGGGGTGTTGTCTTGAATTTGATAATTTATTTGGGCCATGAGTTGTGAAGGGCAGGCTATGAGTCAGAGCGAGTCTGAATAGATTTGGACAGACCTGTCCTGTGTGTTGTAAAGGATTGGCCTCCGTTAAGGCGTGTTGTTCTGGATAGTGAGGTGTATGTTTGTACAGCATTTATGGGGCCCTGTAGAATTGGTTAATATTCATCAAAGCACCAAATCAGAAGGGAGAAGGACAGGGGGAGAAGAGATAGAGAGAGACCGATGAGAGAGAGAGATCTTGTTATTCAGTCAATTCTAGCATTGACTGCCCTGAGAACCTTTGGTAAATAAAAAAATAATAAATAAAAAAATATATATATACACACACTACCAGTCAAGGGTCTACTTATTCAAGGGTTTTTCTTTATTTCTAATATTTTTACATTGTAGAATAATAGTGAAGACATCAAAACTATGAAATAAGACATATGGAATCATGTAGTAACCAAAAAAAGTGTTAAACAAATCAAGAAATATTTGAGATTCTTCAAATAGCCACCCTTTGCCTTGATGACAGCTTTGCACACTCTTGACATTCTCTCCACCAGCTTCATGAGATAGTCACCTGGAATGCATTTAAATTAACAGGTGTGCCTTGTTAAAAGTTAATTTGTAGAATTGATTTCCTTCTTAATGCGTTTGAGCCAATCAGTTGTGTTGTGACAAGGTAGGGGGTATACAGAAGATAGCCCTATTTGGTAAAAGACCAAGTCCATATTATGGCAAGAACAGCTCAAATAATCAAAGAGAAACGACAGTCCATCATTACTTTAAGACATGAAGGTCAGTCAATCCGGAAAATTTGAAGAACTTTGAATGTTTCTTGAAGTGCAGTCGCAAAAACCATCAAGCGCTATGATGAAACTGGCTCTCATGAGGACCGCCACAGGAATGTAAAACCCAGAGTTACCTCTGCTGCAGAGGATAAGTTCATTAGTGTTACCAGCCTCAGAAATTGCAGCCCAAATAAGTGCTTCACAGAGTTCAAGTAACAGACACATCTCAACATCAACTGTTCAGAGGAGACTGCGTGAATCAGGCTTTCATGGTCGAATTGCTGCAAAGAAACCACTACTAAAGGAAACCAATAAGAAGAAGAGACTTGCTTGGGCAAAGAAACACGAGCAATGGACATTAGACCGGTGGAAATGTGTCCTTTGGTCTGGAGTCCAAATAGGAGATTTTTGGTTCCAACCGCTGTGTCTTTGTGAGATGTGGTGTGGGTGAACGGATAATCTCTGCATGTGTAGTTCCCACCGTAAAGCATGGAGGAGGAGGTGTGATGGTGTGGGTTGCTTTGCTGGTGACACTGTCTGTGATTTATTTAGAATTCAAGGCACACTTAACCAGCATGGCTACCACAGCATTCTGCAGCAATCCCATCTGTTTTGCGCTTAGTGGGACAATCATTTGTTTTTCAGCAGGACAATGACCCAACACACCTCCAGGCTGTGTAAGGGCTATTTGACCAAGAAGGAGAGTGATGGAGTGCTGCATCAGATGTCCTGGCCTCCACAATTCCCCGACCTCAACCCAATTGAGATGGTTTGGGATGAGTTGGGCCGCAGAGTGAAGGAAAAGTAGCCAACAAGTCCTCAGCATATGTGGGAACTCCTTCAAGACTGTTGGAAAAGCATTCCAGGTGAAGCTGGTTGGCAGAATGCCAAGAGTGTGCAAAGCTGTCATCAAGGCAAAGGGTGGCTACTTTGAAGAATCTCAGATATATCTTGATTTGTTTTGTTTAACACCTTTTTGGTTACTACATGATTCCATATGTGTTATTTCATAGTTTTGATGTCTTCACTATTATTCTACAATGTAGAAAATAGTTAAAATAAAGAAAAACTCTTAAACGAGTAGGTGTGTCCAAACTTTGGACGGGTACTGTATTTATAAAAATGTTTACACCCAGGTTAAAACACTCAGTTTATTAGGTACACCCATCTAGTACCGGGTCGGACCCCCTTTGCCTCCAGAATAGCCTGAATTATTTGGGGCATTCTACAAGGTGTCGGAAAAGTTCCACAGGGATGTTGGTCCATGCTGACGCCATGGCATCACGCAGATTGGACGGCGGTACATTCATGCTGCAAACAGTCCGTTCCATCTCATCCCAAATATGCTCTATTGGGTTGAGGTCTGGGGACTGTGCAGGCCACTCAAGTAAACTGAACTCGCTGTCATGTTCCAGGTGATGTATTTCCACTCCTCAGTTGTCCAGTGTTTGTGATCACGTGCCCACTGGAGCCGCTTCTTTTTTTTAGCTGATAGGAGTGGAATCCAGTGTGGTCGTCTGCTGCAATAGCTCATCCATGACAAGGACCGACGAGTTGTGTGTTCCGAGATGCCATTCTGCACACCACTGTTGTACTACTCCGTTATTTTTCTGTTTGTGGCCCGCCTGTTCGGTTGATCTATTCTTGCCATTCTCCTTCAACCTCTCTCATCAACGAGCTGTTTTCGCCCACAGGACTGCCGCTGACCGGGTGTTTTTTGTTTGCCGCGCCATTCTCGGTAAACCCTAGACACTGACTGTAGTGTGTGAAAAGCCCAGGAGGGCGGCCGTTTCTGAGAAACTGGATCTGACGCGCATGGGACCCACACGAACTCATCAGAGAGGAGGACAGGAGACCAGCAGAAGGGGAACGTGTGTGTGTGTGTGTGTTTGAGGATCTGAGAGTAGCTAAGTATGTGAGTCAGCAATAAAAAGCCTTTACCGTAAAACTTCAATGAAACGCTGAGTCTCAGATAGCCACCTGTCCCTTTTAATAGCCGGGCAGCGGCACACATTTCAGCAAATAAACACCTGTTTCAAATAAATGCCGGGTCTAAATGAATTGCTTGTGAGTGAACTTCAGCGAGTACCGTAAAGAAGATGAAGGAGACCAACATCATTGCCATGAACGAGACAGCAGTATGGTTTGACATGGTCGGCTCAACTATGGTGGATACAAGTGAGATAATGGTGCTGAAGCACGAAATCGGGGGGGTGTGATAGGCAGCCTAGTCTTTGCATGTCTGATCTGCGGTGGATTTGTTATTATAATGTCAATACTGGTCACAATAAACAGTGTGGTAGTCTTTTCAACATTTTATTGAGCAAAAGCTGTGTACATTAAGGAAATAGACGCCTGGCTCAAATAGAAGCCTGTCTCTAATAAACGCCGGTTGTGTTCAATGATTGAAGCAAATAAACGCCCAGGCTATTAATTGAAGTTTTACAGTATTTGGTATTGAAGGATAGAGTAAGGGACAGACTTTTGGAGAACCAGAGAGCGGGCGAGAGGAAGAGAGAATCAATGAGAGAGAGTGGACAAAAGGGAGAAAGAAAGGGAAACCGACAGAGTAAGTGATGGAAGGAGAGGGGACGGAGTGAGAAAAAAATGATGATAGAGCAAGGAATAGAGGGTGGGAGATAGAGGAAACAAACCTAAAATAGCTGAGTGTCTCACATGGTACTGTAGCTGAGTGTGTAGAGCTGGTAGGTCGGCTGGTTGGGCCTGCTGAAGGCCTGGCTAATCTAATGTTCATATCACCCCCTAATCACATTGATTTACCCCAATCCAATAACGTGACTATTTCTGGACCTGTCCTGTCACATTCACAACATCTGACGGGGTTATTTGTCGTGTGTGTGTGTGTGTGTGCAATTATGACTGGGTTTGGGAAGGAGAAGCTGTTGTCTGGATTTATTTGACTAGTCTCTGTAGGTAATTCCTTTCATTCCACAATGTGTGTCTGAACATGCTCAAAACACACACACACACACACACACAGTCTTTGGTATGTGGGGATCCAAAATCAGCTTGCCTAACGTGTGTGTGTGTGTGTACCTTTGCGCTCACCTGAGCAAGGTCACATAACTCTCTCCACAGCTGATCCCGGGAGCAATGCATGCTCGAAGCCATGTGTTTGTGAGGGGAGCATTTAGGATAACTATGATTCGCTAAATGTACAATGCTCAGTGATTGGCTAAGAGTGTGTGTGCTGATGTGCGCTTTGGTGTTTTTAGGGTTACAGAAACACACAGGCAGTCAGTGTTGTCCCATGGAATACGTGGTAAGAACTTGAGACACACACACCTATAGGCATATGGGTTGCTGGTTGATCTGTCAGTATATCCCAGCTGTAAAGGGCATTCTTTATTTGCCTGTCTAAGCCATTTAGAGCTGTACTTCCTCTTAAGTAAACGTTCAACATTTTATTTTGAAAGAGCAACCCATATGCCAATGTGTGTGTGTGTGTGTATGTTACGCTGGTGTGGGGTGGCTGGGGGTGCATTCAACGATCACAACTATCACATGTATACCTCTGTGATCTGTATGGTGAAGGGTGTCATCACACACCGCAACGCTTTGTAACGCTGAGGTGTTGACGTGGGTTATGTGGTTCTCTCCCTGATTCTGTCTCTAGCGGTTCTGCTGAGTTCTAGATCTTCTTCTGTGGTTCTGTTCAGTCTGAATCTTGGTTCTCATCAGTGGAAGTTCTCACTTGGTTCCACTGATCACTTTGGTTTTCTCTTTTTCTTATTTCTTTGTTTCTGTTGTTATTGTCCTGTTTGTGTGATGATGACCTGGTCTTTACCAGCGGTGAACTCAAGCGGTACAGTAGCTGCTTGGCATTGTCAGGTTGAGTGGCAGATGTCCATATTTGGCCGTATACGTCAAGGTTATTCACAATGCCCTCAAATCAGCCTGCATCTCTGTCTGTCCGGAGGGAGAGAGGGGGACAGGAAGGAAAGAGACTCTCCCCTCCCTCTCTTCTTCTGTCTGTTTCCCTCCTCCCCCACTTACCTCTCTCCCTCTGGTTCTCAGGTTACCCAACAGGAATAGGGGGAGGAGCCTCTTTGTAGAGCCCACATGGGCTGTTTCCCCTCTATCTCCATCCCTCTCTCCTTTCCCTAGTGGTGTGTGTGAGACAGAGCAACGCTCAGTGCACACGCGTGCATATACTGTTAAATGAGACCGCAAAGTGGGAGAGGAGAAAAGGGAAGGAGGGGTGAGCGAGGGGAAGAAGCAGACGCAGCGCATGAGCGAGAGAGGGAGGCGGCATCACCCAGACAGACAACAGAGGGAGAAGGGAGGATAGACAGCGTGCTCGTCTCTCACTCAGACAGAGCTGGAAGGAAAGAAAAGGGGATGAGACCGATGCAAGAGGAGGAGAGGAAGACAATGAAGGAGTGCCGTTGTTCAGCCCTGCCGTTCTGCTGTTTCACAGTCCGCTGAGAAGAGGGGAAGAGAGGAGGAGGACAAGCGGAGGAGAGGATATGAGACCTGCCAATGACTTTGTGATTTAAACGAGTGGAAGAGAGGATCAGAGGAGCACGCTTTTCAGGGAGTGGGGACAGAGAGAGGGAGAAGGGGAGAGAGAGAGAGAGGGTGTTTAAACATGAATATGGTTCTGATGTGAATATGGAGCTCTGTTATTACCATGCTACGGATAATCACCTCTACTCTGTTCAACCCAAATAAGGAACAATTGTTTTTAATTTTTAATTCACTCTTGAAGCAAAGGAAGAGTTCTCAAGGAATTTATTCACATAACTCAAAAAATAAAATAATAATAATAATATTAATCTCAGCATTTTTTATTTTTTTGGGGGGGGTAAAATTAAATACAATAATAGGTGGAAAAAACCTGCTCTGCAGATTATTATACAATCACCACCTTTTTGTCGTTACATACCTAACAGTTAGGGCTGTACAGGAAAACATTCAGGTTGTTGTTATGCAAATTGTTTCTATGGTGGTAGCTATTGGGATTAGTGATTTAGTAAAGTTTTATTGATATTAATATTGACTATCATAGATGAAAGTATTTCATCCTCTGAAGCAATATATGTTGTGTTAATCCATGTGTCCTAGCCAGAGTCTGGAATCAGCCAGGTTGGGATGTCAACATTGATTGGGTTTTATGGCCGGTGCGACGCGAGCCAAACTTTGATCATTTCCTGAGCGGTATTGATCCCTCCAGGAGTCTCTGGCTGGCCGACCGGCTGTAGTTTCTCCAGTTAGATGTTAAAGACCGTAATGGGTCCGTCTCTGCTCTGTCTAGCTGCTCCTGGGCTCTGATTTGTGGATGCAGTCTGTTATTTCTTTGTCTGGAGATGTTTCTGCCGCTGTCAGGATTTCTCAATATAGCTCCTGAGCAGGCTTCTCTTTTAATGTCTGTTGCCACAGCAACTTGCATCTGCCGCAGATGGAGACAGACTGAGATGTAAAGTTATTTTGAGTATTTTTCTCTTTTTTCAAACACTGGTGCTGTTTATTCTATACGTGTCTGTCTAGGGTGGTGATGACCAGGAGAAACAGTCTAGAATGGACCCGACTACTGGTGGGGTGTTGATAACCAGGAGAAACAGTCTAGACAGGACCAGACTACTGGTGGGGTGGTGATAACCAGGAGAAACAGTCTTGACCGCACCCTAGACTGGACCAGACTACTGGTGGGGTGGTGATAACCAGGAGAAACAGTCTAGACAGGACCAGACTACTGGTGGGGTGTTAGTGTGTAGAACATCTAACCTACTTATGGAAATGTAGGCTCTGTCTAGAATTCTAGACTGTATTTGGTGCAGTGTCCTTACTGGTTTGCCGTGAGGTATCTCTCTCGTTCTCCCTCTCTCTTTAGCTTGTGCTGTGCCACCTTTGCCATATTAGCCATATTCACTGGCAACTAGCGTCCTGACTGGGACTAGTGGTATACCAAGCCGATGTCAGAAATGGCTGGACTAATCTGGATTATAATCAGATGATTCTACTGATACTATGTGTTGGCATATCATTCACTCTGTACAGCAGTGGAACTGTGTAGTCTTAACTGGTTTAATCTACTGTGTGTTGTTAATGTGTGTTAGTGGGGACTTTCTGTACTTGTGTGTTTTCTATCTGTGTGTAGGAGACTCAGGACATCTCCTCAAGTAAAGGGTGCTGTACTCTGCACTCGTCTGACCTACACTGTGTTTTATTCTGTGCACTAACATCTGGCAGGGCGAGGGTAAACCTGCTGTACCTGCACTTACTAGTGTTAACCTCTCTGTATGTTTGCTAACTGACTCGTCGGCTATGTTTGTGACATCTCATCACTGTTAGCGAGTGTTGCTAGCGTTTCATGATTGAACGCAACTCTATATGTTCATCTGTGTTGACATTTACATTTTAGTCATTTAGCAGACACTTTTTTCCAGAGCAACTTACAGTAGTGAGCGCATACCTTTTCGTACTGGTCCCCCATAGGAATCGAACCCACCTTCCCTGGCGTTGCAAGCCTAATGCTCCTCCAGGTGAGCCACACGGGACACAGCCACTAATTGACCATCGCGATCTGACCATCTACCCTGCACTTAGCATTCCACTGGTAGCGCTACAGCACTAGGACAAATAGACATTTAGAGACTATAATGGAAGAGTTTTATAGTTATGCAAAGACAGTTAGGCTGTGCTAAGAGCCTGCTGTAGGCTGTCATAAGACCTTAATAGCCCTTCATAGCACTTCATAGCTAATCCCAGTCTGTATCCTGATGTGTTCTGGTGCTCGCTTGTTGTTGAAAGTCAACTTTCTCTGGGATCATCCTGAAACTTTTGGTGCCAAATTGTCAATCTGTTACAAAGTTTTATCTCAGTGGGTCAAACCTGGCAGAGTAAAGGTTAGAACATGTGTAAAGTGCTGTTAACAACACTGATATGTGAGCTGGATAGCCCCTGGTGTTATATTACAGGTTCAACCTCCGTTGACTATTCAGTTCTGTGAGTTGTGTCTTGCAGCTGGAGACTGTTAATGTAAGATGACTGTTGTTTTCTCTTTGGATGGACTATACAGATAGTTTGGACTGTAGTTAGCTCCTGTGTTTGTAGTTAGGCTAGTACTGGACCATGCTGTGGGTGCTGTGTCAAGAAATACACATTCTTCTCTCAGGTAACTGACTATTGGCTTGGCTTGTTGTTTAAACGAGACTGTTTCTGTGGTATCGATAAGGAGAGCGAGAGAGAGAGGGGAGGGAGGTTTAATTGAGTGTAATAACCGGGTGATTGAGTTCACGGTTGCCTCTAACAAGCCTCCAGTACCATTCAGGTCTCATTATCATCAAAACAATCCCACCACTGGTGTCATCATCCAATGACCTACATTCTCTCTTGTTACATCACCACTGTGTGTGTCTCTGTGTCTGTAACCAGAAAAAGACAACATCTCAAACTCTAGCACTTCTGATGCTATGGTGCTCCAGAACGTATCCACTCTAACCAGGGCAGCAATGTTATAGAACAGCTCTACCTACTGTTTTAGCCATATCAGAAACTTCAGTCAGGGACAAACCCAGCATCGGGTCTTTTCCTATCTATCTGTCTTTTTCTTATCTACTGGTGTCTATTTCTAGGTTATGTGCAGAGTATAGACTGGCTGTAGTTACAGAGTGAGTGAGTGTATGTGAGAGAGAGAGACAGACAATCTTTTAAAGTAGAGGAGGGACTGTTTAAGAGGACAGCCTGGAGAACGGAAAAGGAGACGAGGGAGGGGGAGAGGGGGAGCGAGAGATCATCTGGAAGAGGAGGCAGGAAGTGGTGGAGCGAGAGAAGGAGGAGGCGCAGCGGCTACTGAGGGAGGCGCAGAAAACAGTGTGGAGGAGGAGAGAGGGATTCCAGGAGAGGATAGGAGAGGACAAGCTGAGGGGAGAGAGGAGCACAGAGGGAGGGAGAGAGACCGCCCCGGAGGTGATCTGGAGAAAGAGAGAGGAAGAGGGGGAGAAAGAGAGGGAGAAAGCCAGGGCCATCCAGAGAGGACACGAGACCATCTGGAGGAAGAGGGAGAGGGAGTGGGAGTGAGGAAAAGAGAGAGGGAATGAGGAAGAGGGAGAGAGAGGGTGAGGAAGAGTGAGTGAATGAGTACAGAGGATGAAGTGCTAAATTACTTAGGGGTCTTGTCCAGCAGCCTTGGAACCTGAAAAGCAAAGCTGCTCACATGAGAGAAAGAGGGATAAAGAGAGAGAGGAGTAGAAGGCAAGAGGAAGAAAGGTATATTTTCCCTGCCAGAATTGGTGTCTGGCCATAGATCAGCGGGTCTTAACAGAACTTTGCTATATTAAGCACTGCAGGTAATCTTACTCTGTTGTATCGACCCGTCACTGCTGTGTTTCGCCAGTGTGTGTTTGTCCCTTCTGATCTACTCGTTTGCAGCTGATAGGGTTTTTATGGGCCGTGTCAGGCGAGAGCGGCTAGTGAGCTACTGCCCCGACAGACACACTGAAACACACACACACACACCACAGACTCACACACTCTCAGTGCCATTGCAGGCAGTAGAGTAGGTTTCTAGTCCGACACATGCTAACACACACAGACACATGAGGGTAGGCCCCTCGATGCAGTGAGTGTCTGTGTCAAGAGACAATCACATTCTGAGGTTTTATGTTGATTCTCCATGGTGCTCAAAGATGAAGAACTGGACTTAAGTGCTATGCTACATTCATTGGCATGCTGATGTGCTCAGAAAGCATTTTTCAGAACACGTGCCGCATACTTGATCACAAAAACCCTTTTGATTCTCTCTATTGGAAAGTGGCAGTCATTTCTGTGGATTGAAAGTCATCAAATGTTGTAAGACTGACAGCATAGACACAAAAAACTCTGAATATCACTCCATCAGTGTGCTGGGTTAGTCTTCGAGGGATATCCCCCTTTGATCTTCAACCGCTCCTCTCCTCTCGCTTCTCTCCTCTCGCTCCTCTCCTCTGTCTTGTAGATGAAGGCGTTTATTGCGCAGTGTCTGCCGCACTGCCTGACAATGACAGGAGGAAATAAAACAGGGCGGACGGACAGACAACGGACACTGAGAGGGAAAGAAAGAGGAGAGCGTGTTTTGGAGCGAGAGACTGATAATACGGAGAAAAGGAGAATGAACCACAGTTGTTGTTCAGACTGAATCACACCGGAGAGTTGGTCTCTGATTAGTCAGAATCACACAGGACTTGTTAGAGAAACACTGAAATAACATTAAACATCTCAGATCCATGATGGAGCTGGTCCCTAAAACTAAGTACACTCACTTCCGGAGTGAATCTCTCAGTTCGAATGACGATACCAACTCCAATCCCTCCTCCCTCCCACCTTCCACCCCCGCAACCCCCCTCACCCCTCCTGGGCTACCCTCCTCCCTGTCCTCCTCCTCTCTCACCCCCATCCTCCCCCCTTCCCGCCGCCGAGCCGAGAACAGCCCCACCACGCTCTGCTCCTTCTTCCCCAGGATGGGAGCCCTTCGCCTGGGCGTCTCTGCCACTCTACTCCCAGGCCTCAAGGCCTCCAGCAGGCCTCAGCAGGCTCAAGCCCCCATGGAGTCTTCAGGGGTTAACAGTTCCAGTTCCAGATCTCCCCCTCCTCACCCACCTCACTGTCTAACAGCCCCTTCTCCCCCCCCTCGTCCCCCTTTGCAGGATATGAACCGGCTGGGCGGGGCGTCCAGGAGGGCGCGGGTGGAGGGGGGGCAGCTGGGGGGAGATGAGTGGACGCGCCACGGGTCCTTCGTCAACAAACCCACCAGAGGATGGCTACACTCAGACCACGTGGTCAGCACCACTGGGGTTGCCTACTCTGTACGGGTAAGAGTTGGTTGACCTGTCTGTCTGTTTTTCAGTTTGTAGGATGTAGGCCTATAGGCTAGTACTTGCATATTTCTTTAACTTTCCATATCTGTCCATTTTTCTGTTGCTCTCTCAAAATAATCTATTCTCTTGTCTATCCATCTGTCTCTATCTGTTTCGATCTGCCCCTCCGGTCAGTGGGGGTGTTCTGGAGGAAATATAATCCTAGTTCATATGAGTTCCTTTCCTGTTTCCTGTGTAGTATATTGGCTGTGTGGAGAGGAGTGCTGTAGGAAGTGGCATCCCTGTTCATATGCGTCTCCTCTCTATTTCCTGTGTAGTATATGGGCTGTGTGGAGGTGCTACAGTCTATGAGGGCGCTGGACTTCAACACCAGAACTCAGGTCACCAGGTGAGAACCCTCCAGTTGGGATAGTTCTCCCAAATTACAAAATGTCATATTGGTTTCCTTACCCTGTAAGCAGTCTATGGAGAAGGTATGACAGTCAAAATCATCCGAAAGTATCTTAAATTGATTGTGAGGCTCAACAAAGTAACTTATAGATGATTTGAACATGATGCGCGTAAAATGCTAATATCAGTACCATGACTTGAATGGGATTTGTGCAACAAATGCTAAAACGTTAGCATTTAGAAACAGTGCCAGGGAAACTAAACCAAGGCAGGGATTGCTGTCATACCTTGTCCATAGACTGCTTACAGGGTAAGGAAACCAATGTGTCATTTTGTAATTTGGGTGAACTATCCCTTTAAACTGTTGTTTATGGTTAATGATCAAGTTACTTCACTCAGATGTACTGTGGTTAGGTAGTTCAGAACAGAGCCATGTAGTTAGAGCCTAGTACTGTATATGGCTCTTGTTCAAAACACTGCAAATCACAAAATGTACTCTTACTAGCTACCTCATTTTCACATAAAAATTTATTATTTATCTCCATCTTCAGTTCATATCTTTCTCTCTCTGCTCCTCCCCCAATTCTCTTTCTTGCCCTGTTCTATTTTGGTCCCTAGCCTCTACCCATTCAGTGTTAGACAATCTGAAAGGACTCCATAGGTTTAGCAGTATGATTGTGTGTGTGTGTGTGTGTGCGTGCGCGCCTTCCGCCCTCACGACCTCTAAATTAAAATGTTCTGGAATCCTGGTGGTTTCCTTCTGGTTTCCGTAGTGATGTTTGTATCTGTGGTGAGGACAAGTGTGGTTGTCAGGATGATGAAGTCTGTGTGACATGTTGCCTGATTTCATCTAATCTAAGTATGAAATCCGCACGAGTGTGTTAGAGAGAGATTCTCACACGTGTTGTTGTTTCAGAGAGGCTATCTCAGTGGTGTGTGAGGCAGTGCCCGGAGCCAAAGGAGCCCAACGCAGGAGAAAGGTACACACCAATACACACACACACACACACAGAGCATTATTTATTTATGTGTTAAGTGGAGGGCAGTGGTCAGGGCGTTGTTGGATCTGGATTTAGCTGGATTGTCCACTCTGTGGTCAGTGGTACTTACAGGTAACTACCTCTGTCTCTCTCTTTCTCTCTCACTGTCTCTCTCACACACCTACACACACACACACACACACTGCCCCTTGTATGAGGGAGACTTGTGAATAAGTTGTGTGTGCCCAGACTAAGCCAACTCCAACTGGGCCGGGCCCAGCCTGTCTTTATGGAGGAAGGGAGGGGGAGAGAGGGAGGGGGGGGAGGGGGAGGGAGAGCGTTCCTGTAAAACTAAAAGTATCCACCCAAACACTACATAAAACAGAGCTATATACAGACCAGACTGGTTTGGCTACAGCATGTCTGGCCCTGCAAGACTGTGGGAGACTATTGGGGACACTTTTAGACTATTGGGGACCATTTTAGACTATTGGGGACTATGCAAGACTATTTGAGACTATGGACTGTGTGGGACTTGACTAGACAAGCTTAAGTTTGTGTTGACCAGATGAACCATTGAGCAGAGCAGAGTCAGACAGGATCACTGGCAGCCTGCAGCTGTTCTTCTACACACACACACACACACTCGGCTCAGACATGCTTCTCCCTCTCTATTGCCTACACACACACACTGACACACTTCTTCTCTGTATATTGTACAGTACATTTACTATACTCTGATTGTTAGGTCTTCTTTTATAATATCTTTATACTATAAAGAGCTCTCCCCCCTGCCCTCCCTCTCTCCAGCCGTCGTCTCGCTGTATGACGTCCATTCTGGGGAAAAGAAACCTGCAGTTTGCTGGGATGACCATCAGCCTGACGGTCTCTACCATAAGCCTCAACCTGCTGGCCTCTGACTGCAAACAGGTGACACACACATGCACACACCTACACACACACACACACACTCGGGCATACAAACACACTGCGTGCAGGGATCCTGAATGAGTGATTGTTGTTATTGATCTATCTGGGTTTGTTATTACAGACTATTAAGGTATTTAGTATACACTATATCTAATTGTCAATGGAACCAACCCCTACTGCTGAATGGAGAAACATGATCTCTCTCTCCTCTGTCTCTCTCCATCTCTCTCTCTCTCTCTCTCTCTCTCTCTCTCTCTCTCTCTCTCTCTCTCTCTCTCTCTGTTCTCTCTCCTCTCTGTCTCTCTCCATCTCTCCACCGCTACATCTCACCTCTATACATCATTCATCACACTACCATGCTCAAATCCCTCCCTCCCTCTCTCTCTCTCTGTCTCTCTCTTCACAGATAATCGCCAATCATCACATGCACTCCATCTCTTTCGCTTCTGGAGGAGACCCAGTGAGTTATACAGCCCTCTCTCTCTCATCTCACTCTATCCATCCTCAATCCCCACTCTATCCATCCTCTATCCCCACTCTATCCCCACTCTATCCATACTTTATCCCCACTCTATCTATCCTCTATCCATTTCTCTGCCTCTGTCCATCCATATACTCCTCTGCCTCTCTCTCCCTGCTTCACTCTGTCCATCCGTCTACTCCTCTATGCCTCTCTTCTCTCTCCCTGCTTCACTCTGTCCATCCATCTACTCCTCTGCCTCTCTCCCTGCTTCACTCTGTCCATCCATCTACTCTGCCCCTCTCTCCCTGCTTCACTCTGTCCATCCATCTACTCCTCTGCCCCTCTCTCCCTGCTTCACTCTGTCCATCCATCTACTCCTCTGCCCCTCTCTCCCTGCTTCACTCTGTCCATCCATCTACTCCTCTATCCCTGTCACCCTGCCTCTGTCTTGCTCCGTCCATCTTTCTTTTCCTCTATCCCTCTCTCCTCCCTCTGTATTCTATAGCTCTTTTCCTCCCTCCTTTGTCTGCATCAGTGGAACTCCCTCTCTTCCTCAGACACGTATTCTTCCTCCTCCTCCTCATCTCTTCCTCCTAGATCATTGTGTGTTAATAGCTCCTCTGACTAAATGTCTTTGCTTCCTTCTCTCTTCCGACTCACCCACTCTCCCTTTTCCTCCTCACCCTCCCCTTCATATTTCCCTCCCATTTCCCCCTCCCACCCTCTCCTCCCCATCCCCCTCTTCTCTCTCTCCCTCAGGACACAGCAGAGTATGTAGCATACGTGGCCAAAGACCCAGTCAACCAGAGAGGTGAGACTCAATGTCATCCCTCCAATATATTTATCCAGCAGCACATCCAATCCTTGTTCAGTACCTTACTTTGGACAGTGAGGCAGTGCCAATATTCTGTTTCCTTATCTCTGTTGTTTACCCTCCTCTCCGCTTCCTTTCTGTCCAGCGTGTCATATCCTGGAGTGTTCGGAGGGCTTGGCCCAGGATGTCATCAGTACGATAGGACAGGCCTTCGAACTACGCTTCAAACAGTACCTGAAGAACCCCCCCAAATTGGTCACCCCCCATGACAGGTGTGTGTTTGCATGTGCGTGTGCGTGTGTGTGCATGTGTGTTTCTCACTCTTGACTCCTCTCCCCTTTCTCAGGATGGCTCCGTTTGACAGCTCAGCGTGGGAGGAAGAGGAAGATGAGGGAGCACCGCCCTCTGCAGAGGTTCCGTACTATAATAACTTCCCCGGGAAACAACCTCCTCCTGGAGGACTGGTGGACATGAGGGGCCGCCCCGGGGCTACCCTGGTGAGACACACACATCAAGTCATTGTCAGTCAATAGTATTGAATCCAGCTCCAGACTGCAGCTCCAGAAGAGAGAGGGCAGTTCAGTATGTAGGCTAATCATCTAACCCAGTCTCACCCTCACATCACAGCAGACCTTAGTCTCCCACTCTCTCTGGCACTCTCTTTATTCACCTCACTGTGTGTGTCTGTCTGTGTCTGTCTGTGTGTGTCTTTGTGTCTGTCTTTGTGTGTGTGTATGTCTGTCTTTGCGTGTGTGTGTGTGTGTGTGTGTGTGTGTGTGTGTGTTAACAGTGTAATGTATGTTTTTCCATCTGTATCTTAATTGTATCTTAATTGCTTCTGGCGTGTGTGTTTGCAGCCCTATGGACAGCCGGGTCAGAATGATATTCACAAGCAGCCGCTGCCCCCTCTACCAAGTGAGCCATCTCTCTCTCTCGCACTCACTCAATCACTCACTCTCTCACTCAGCTAAAGGATATGAGGTGACACATAATACAATGACTTACAGCAAGAGAATGCCACAGACACAGTGAGAGAGGAAATTAGTCAGATTGACCCTGTGTGTGTGTGTGTTACTCTAGGACAGTGTGTGTCAACTGGTCTGTGTGTTCCCATAGGGATGTGTGTGTTATTTCAGGTCAGTGCTGCTACACTAGCATAGGGTTTTTCTCCATCTGAGTCCCTAATCATAAATGAGCCAGCAACTGCACTGAGAAATAGTCTAAACACACACACACACACACATACTGTACAAACCCTGTCACCCCAACAAACACACACACATGCATGCACACAAATTTTAAAAACATGACACACCTCAACCAGAGATTTGTGTTCAGCAAAAAGCAGGGCACTCAGAGCCACTTCAGGACTAAAAACACTGCAGGGTTCTGCTCTATAGCTTTCACCTCTCCACAACATCACCAAACATACTGGTAACTAACCCAAGATACATCATTGGCATTGTGTCCAATAGGAGCAAATGAAGCAGTGGGCAGAACAAGCAAGGAGGTGGGCAGAGCCTAGCGAGATCCTTAGTCCGTAACAGATTCTAGTTTTGGGAACAGAACTGTATTGAGATCTAATGTTTCATCGATTAGAACATTTGCTGAATGTTCGGCCAAGTTTCATCTAGCTCCATATTCTCACACTTCCCGCCACTGGACTTCCTCTCATCACCATATTTGGTGGTAAGAAGAAGTTCAAAACGGATGCATCAGATTTATACATCCTGTGAATTATGTGTTCTTAATAATAAATAATAATATGCCATTTAGCAGACGCTTTTATCCAAAGCGACTTACAGTCATGTGTGCATACATTTTTACATATGGGTTCTTCTTCTATTTGTGACATCACAGAACATCCATAGAAATATTTTTTGTAGAACAGATACTCTAAATGTTGCACCTCCCTGAACACCTCACAGGTGATACCGACATACAGTTATGTGATTAAACTCTGATTGGTTGTTTCAGTGGGAGCAAAGGAGGGAGGGCGGGACCTGTGTGATGACCCTTCATACGTCAATGTGGATAAACCCCGCCCACCAGCAGCTGCAGCCAATGGCAACGCTCACAGAGATGCGTTCGATATGAGTGAGTCCCAGTTGGCCCTATCAGCTAGAGTCTGTGTACAATACATCAACTGGCCCTGCAGTCTATAGCAGTGACTATCAGTCATCTCGGATAAGACTAATTAGAATGGTTATCAGCTATATTGCAGTAATTACACTACAGTAGAAGTCATTAGTTTATTCATTTTGGTTTGGACATAGGGGAAATGAGAATATTGGTATCCTGAATGTATCAAGAATTAATCTGGTCTGGTCTTATAGTCTCACAATGAATCTCTCACTATCTCCCTCCTCTTCCTCCTCCTCCTCCTCTCAGAGCCGTTTGATGATTCCCTGGGTGTATCAGGTCTGGGGGTCTCAGCGGCACCCCCTCTGGTGGAACAGCTGCAGTGCGAGGCCTGGTTCCACGGCAGCCTGAGTCGCAGGCAGGCTGAGAGACTGCTGACCCGCGACGGAGACTTCCTGGTCCGAGAGTCAGGCACCACCCCTGGACAGTACGTCCTCACTGGACAACAGGGGGGTCAGCCCAAACACCTACTACTGGTCGACCCAGAGGGAGTGGTGAGTGGGGAGGGAGGGAGGGAGGGAGGGGAGGGGAGGGTGTTTGTGTTAGAGCAAGCCACCCAAAGCCTTCCCACTTATCAGCTGTGATGTGCTATGTTTTGTTGACCCTCTCTCTCTCTCTATCTCTCTGTCTGTCTGTGTGTGTTGTCCTACTCCTCAGGTACGTACCAAAGACCACCACTTTGAGAGTGTGAGCCACCTGATCAGTTACCACATGGACAACAGACTGCCCATAGTATCAGCAGGCAGTGAGGTGTGTCTGCAACAACCAGTGGAGCACAGGGCCTGAACACACACACACACACACACACTCATACAGTAATGCAACACATACACACTCTCAGCAACACTACACACATAAGCAGTGCGGAATACACAAATACTGTACACACACACTCACACACTGACCACATTAAGGAAAGCCAAAAAAACGCACCTCTCTCACTCTTTCTGCCAAATCAATTGCTCGCTGCTTTTTCTCACACCCTCCTGGACGACACACTGTGACCTCCATGATCCCTCCTTCTGTTCATCTTTCCATCATCGAGGTCCACTCCCTCCATCCCTCCAAAGAGCGAGGGAGTAATACTGAGGAACACCTCTTTTCTTTTTTTTCTTTTTTAAAAAAGTGGGACAGAAATGAATACAATTTAGTACAAAACTGAGCATTATTAATGAAATCATGCCATAGAATAATTCAAAAATGATACAATCATAGTAAAGGAGGACTGTGGACCTTGTAGGGGTGGAGTGAAACGTAGAGAAAGGAGTGGAGTGATGGAGGGAGAGGTCTTGATCCAGATATGGCAGAGGAAACATTTTCTCTCACCGTCACAGAAGCACTCCAAAGACTTGTCTGATGATTGGAATCATCAGAGAGCTCAGACGTGGACCCTCCAATCAAATATCAGTGGAACACAGGAACAGCCAATCAAATATCAGTGGAACACCGGAATAACCAATCATGACTGAGATCAGGCCTCCTGTTAAATATGCATAGACAGTTTTGTATCCACACAAATCAGGGCCCTCGCTCACCCTCTAGCCACTCCCATTTAAAGACCTTTCATCTTTGACCATTGACCCCCTGAGTGATACCTGGTAATGTCACGGAGGATGTTCCTGTATGCAAAAAGGGGGTTGCTATGCCAACAACCATTGTCTCCGTCTGTCCAAATATGGACAGGGTTTCTTTCCTGCCTCTGAGGGCGGAGTTTGATAAAAAGGATGTGATTCATGTCCATCTGACATCAGCCTGTCTGTCTGCATGGGACTGGTCTCACCTTTCTGCTCTGATCATGACAAATAAAGTGGACTTGGTTGGACTGGGGCAGCAGAAACCATGGAGATGACTCCTACAGACTAACACACTGTATGTTAGTGTATCTGTCATGTGTACTTTCGTTGGGAGTATAGTGTCTTTACAGAGAGAGGGATGGAGAGAGGACTGGGAAGGGGGCAGCAGGCATGGGGGAGGATCCACATCTAGATATGATGTCATCAGACCTAGACACGATGTCATCTAAAAGAGCTCAAAGCCAATTCTACGATGATGTCACAGTCAACGCAAATGCGGCTGTCACAATTTAATCGGTGCATTGTTGGAATCGTAGTTCAGATTAATGCCAATATTTTCTTGCTTTTCAATGGATTTGTTGTTTATCTGTTTGCCTTGACAATCTATTCCCTTGTCTCTGTTGTCTGGACTGGTGGGGACGAGGAGGGTGGGGGGTGGAGAGGTTGGGGGGGATACTGGACGAAGTGTGTTTAATGCCGAAAGCATTCGGTCCAGAGCATTCAAAGCAATGATCTCCTCTCCAAATGTGCTGCAACACTTTGTCAGGAGATTAGCTTTTAGCATTAGCATTAGTGTGTGATGTGTTTCTTCTCAGCTCACTCCAGGGAAAACTGTTATCAGCGCTGTTCACAGCGAAATCTGGGAGATTCGCAAACGTTGGTCAGACGTTGGACTTTGACGTGTTGTTGTTTTCCTTGAATTAGAGGATAGTAGAAGGAGAGAAAGTGGAGGAATCATCCTCTCCTCTCCCTCCTCCCTCCTTCTCTTCATTATGTTTTTTGTATCTTTTACTCGTGCCTTGTTTCTTCGATGCAGTTGCCTCACTCCAATGCAGTCAGTCACCTTATGTGCTTATGTACTGTGCTTATTGTACAGTCAATTGATGTACTTAATCCAAATGTAGTGGACTGTTAGATCCTGTCACATGGTCTCTCAGGCCATTAAAGACTCTGCAAAAAGGACACTCACCGACTCTCACCACCCAGGTCCAGTGATGGCAATCTGCTCCTCTGATGCACATTCATTCTTACTTCCTGTTGTCACTTGTTGTCACGGTTGCTCGATGTCGTAGCTCTCATTGGAGGGATTTCCACCCCACCTGTAAATAACATCAGATCTGATTGGTCGTCTTGAGTTCTTGGTTCTGAAATGAAAGTCTTTATTGTTTAGATGTTTTTAATAACGTGGGTGGGACAGAACCAGATACTATATTTCACGTGTAATACCCACCGAATACATTTCTCTCTGAATCCAATTCATTTTGATTCTAGCCAATGAACCCTGTCCAGGTCTTTGAGGGAGGCTGAAACCAAACTGTAACATGGAAGTGAAGAGTAAACTGGTATCTGCCACCTGCTGTACAAAATATGTATGTCTCATTAGTAGGGTTGCAAAATCCTGGTTGGAGGATTCATGGAATTCCTGCTTATTCGCTCATGTAATTATAGGATTATTCTAACCAGGATTTCTGAAAAAACCGGGGAATTTGGGGAAGTTATCAGAATTTTGCAACTCTACTCATGAGACAAGGATTCTCTGAGCCTGGACAGGTAATTGTTTTATTGATCTTTCTCATCATGCTTCAGTAGTCTGTGTGTTGTGTTGTGAGAGGATGTGTGGATGATCAGAGTTTATGGTTGGGAGTGTAGGGGATTGTGTAGTTCTTACATGGTGGTACGTGTGCTCTGTGAGTGTGTGAGGCCTTTGCTTCATTCTGTCAGAGATCTGTCACACACACAGGAGGGACAGCTGTGTTACACACTGACTGTTCAAGTGACTATAGGTCCTGGATAGGCAACAAGAAAACGAGTCCATATGAGCCCCGAACTGTGTGTGACGTGTGTGTGTGTGTGTCTAAAAGGAATCATCTATCCTCTCTACATCATTTGTGAAGCATTCTAGCATTGTCATTTTCTCATTGTTCATCACAGTTGCCTTTGTTGCATGGAAATCCTTTTTACAGTTTCTATATTGTTGTTGCTGTTTTGATGTACTTTTTAATTTGTGTTTTGAAAGCCAAAGGGTTCTTTTCAATTAGCCTGCACAAATATTGATTTAATTTTTTACTTTTTACAGTTCTGTTTTAATACTCTTGTTGTTCTAAAAATACATCTGTTTACACCTGTATCTGAAAATATAGATTGCATATATAAATGCATATATCATTAATCTTTATTGGTGAGTTTGGTTTTAAATGCAGTTTCTGGATTTACTCTTTGGTCTCCTGTGATGTTTCTTACATTTTGATTCATAACTATTAAATAGAACATATCACCTTTACTTATTTATTTATTCTGCCAAATACAGGTAAACACTATATATTGTTTTAATTGAAGTTATACACTTCAAGGAACCGACCAAGGAGATAAGGAGAGGACAGGACGAGGCTACTTGAGTTACCTCAGGGGAGGAAGAGGCTACTTGAGTTACCTCAGGGGAGGAAGAGGCTACTTGAGTTACCTCAGGGGAGGAAGAGGCTACTTGAGTTACCACAGAGGGGAGGAAGAGACTACTTGAGTTACCACAGGGGTAGGAAGATGCCACTTGATTTACCACAGGGGAGGACGAGGCGAGTTACCACAGGGAGGAGGAAGAGGCTAGTTGAGGTTACCACAGGGAGGAAGAAGAGGCTAGTTGAGTTACCACAGGGAGGAAGAAGAGGCTAGTTTGAGTTACCACAGGGAGAAGAAGAGGCTAGTTGAGTTACCCACAGGGAGGAAGAAGAGGCTAGTTGAGTTACCACAGGGAGGAAGAAGAGGCTAGTTGAGTTACCACAGGGAGGAAGAAGAGGCTAGTTGAGTTACCACAGGGAGGAAGAAGAGGCTAGTTGAGTTACCACAGGGAGGAAGAAGAGGCTAGTTGAGTTACCACAGGGAGGAAGAGAGGCTAGTTGTGCCTAGGCGTACAGTAGGGACTAGGGTTCGAGAATGTGCATTGGTACAGGGTCCATGTCAGCAAATGTTGTATATTCAGACCTCTGGTGAGAACATGTCCTATAGCTTACATTCACAGAATCATTTCAACCTGGACGTTGACCACCACTCAGTAATCGAACAATATAGAAATCATAATAGTGGGGCTTACTTATTTCAACCTGTTCAGAACACAAAACCCAGATTACCAGAAGAGAGAAACAATAGGCAGTCACACAGTCCTGGACAAAAAGTGGGATGTGGGAGGGAGAGGAGGCATACTGTATGCTTTTACAGTAGAGCTGTATTGAGCAGGTGATACTGGAACTATCCTGAAGGGTGGACTGTAGGAGTGGTGTGGTGGAGAGATTCTGCTTTCCATAGGGAGAGCACCGAGCTAGTCTGTTCCACTGGCATAAACCCTAGAGATGGGGAGGGGGGGAGGGGAGGGGGAGGGGGGAGGGGGGGGGTGCAGCGCACACCCAGAGCCAGTGAACAGAATGTTTCATAACCAGTGGTGACTGGTGTGTCCATGTTCCAGAGTGTAGAAGAATATAATAGCGAAAGATCAGGAGCTGAGAGAACGCCCCCTGGTGTTGGTAGTGTTGATGTCACTATAGGAGGAGCTCTCTGTCCACTCACACCCAGTCCAACACTGGTCTGATCCTCACCCTTCTCCTCTTCCTTTCCTCTACTCCTCTGGGATTGACCTGACCCCTCTTCCTCTACTCCTCTTTCTATCACTTCTTGGCCATAGAGCCATGCACCCCCAGCGTCCTCTCCCCCAGGCCATGCCCTCCTCCCTCGGGCAGAACCTGCGTGACATGGCCATGGGCCTAGGCAGAGGGAAGAACTTACTGGGTGGGAACATCGCCTACGGCTTCATCCAGTCCCTCAAGGAGTGCCTCTACTTCGTACTCTGCTGCTGGTGCATCAAGGAGATACTGGACTGACTGACCGATGACTGAGACACTACGAGAGGGAGAGAGAGGTACGAGGGTGAGGTTCTCTTTCCTGCTTGTCTCTCTGGATGTGTTTCTCTCTTCCTCCTTGTCACTCCTTTTCTCCTCTGTTTTTCTCTCACCAGCTATGATGTTATACGCAGCGTGTGAAGCGGTGTAAGTATCAGTCTCTTGTCATTACATACAGTAGATACTGTACATAGTTTGGCAAACATCTATTTTGGCATCAAACTTTTTTCTGACATAATTTCCTTTCAGCTACGGTATGTGTTACCTATAAAATATTCCACCAAATATCTAGGACTGTAGTATATGGCCCTGGTGTATGTGTGTGGATTTTCTTTTCTTAGTGCCCATGATGCAGTTCTATATTCCTGTCTGGAGGCTTGAGAAACTGATGTGCTGCCTAGTGTATCGGAGGACCTCTGTTATTCTCTGATCCTGAGTCAGTCAGTCTGGAGACCTGCAGTGCAGTGTGTGTGGCATCATATTAACACCAATCAGCTGATCATAGACCTGTGGAGAAACCAAACCTGTGAGGCAGTGGACATGGTTTTTGATGCTGCTTAGGTCACATTTAATTCCAGGTTTTATTCATTTCTGTACAATCTTAATATGCAAGGAATAAAAAGGATTGTAATATCTGATGTGTTTGTCTGTGCTATCAAAAGTCAGATTGTGTGTGTAAAATTAAATATAAATAATAAATAAATAAATAAAAGTATAGCCTGTCTTCAGCATCTGCCAATGTCATCAGTGTTAGGTAGCACCACAATGTCGGAATGCATTGCGTATGGTATATTTTGCATATCCACTCTTATCACCTGCGTGTGTCAATCAATCTGAACGTGTGCGCATCGAGCGACACGAGAGAGCGATGTCATTGGTCGAGATGGCCAGTGAGGGGTGGGACATCAGAGAATGCCCTCCCCGGGTTGGAAAAGAGAGCGTGCATCACGCAAGTGTAAAAGCGACTCTTCCAAGTTCCAAAGTTGGATGGATCCAATGAATTTGACGGATAGAGATTGATACACAATTGCCATTAAGAAAAGCGACGCGTTTAGAGGTAAGTGGAATATGCAT